TATATATATATATATATATATATATATATATATATATATATATATATATATATATATATATATATATAGTATATATATATATATATATATATATGAATATGTATATATATATATATATATATATATATATATATATATATATATATAGATATAGATATATATATATATATATATATATATATATATATATATATATATATATATATATATATATATATATATATATATATATATATATATATTAGGGGTATGACTAAAAAACATATTTCTTTTTTACGGAAATGGCATAGCGGCAAAAGATGAATTTTTACTTCTATTAACATAAAATAATAATACTTTTTTCAGCAACTCTAATAGATAATATAATAACTTCAGATATTTTCAACAATGATTTAAAAGTAGGTATTTTGCGAACCGATATATCAGATCATTTCCCTATATTCCTAAAATTAGATAATACAAACTCTGAAAAAGCTTTAACCGCACAAAAAGTAATTCGAAAACGCATTTATAATGAGGCTAACCTTAATTTATTCAAAAATCAACTTTCATTACTACACTGGAATAACATAAATTTTAATGATAATGCTAACAATATCTATGAGTCTTTTTTCAAAACATTTTTTACTGTATACGATGCTAATTTCCCAATCATTGAAAATAAAATAACTACTAAGAGCTGCAATACACCCTGGATCACTAAGGGCTTTAAAAAATCGTCCAAAATTAAACAAAAAATATATATAAATTTTTTGAAAACAAAAACACCTAAAAACGAAAAAATTTACAAGGACTACAAAAATCCATTTGAAAAAAAATTCGAAAAAATCTAAAAAAAAATTATTACTCCCAATTACTCATTTATTTATTACATCAATTAATACATTTAAAAATGACACAAAACGCACATGGCAAATAATGAATGAAATTATTGGAAAACAAAAACCATGCTCAGGTTTTCGGCCACAAATGATTAGAGTCGATAACAAAAGTTTATACGAACCAAGAACTATAGCTCAAGAATTTAACCAATTTTTTATCGATATAGGTCCAACACTTTCTAAAAAAATCCGAAAGACCAAATCTTTATTTACTGATTTTCTAGTACCCATTGATAATTGCATTGGTTCAGTTGAGTTGTCTTCTGACTTATTGTTTGAAGAGTTTGAAAGAGCCTTCAAATCTTTAAAAAAAAATAAAGCAAGTGGAGCAGATCAAATAAATGGAAACGTTATTATAGATTGTTTTGAACATCTAAAAGTTGTTCTTTTTAAAGTTTTTAAAGCTTCTATCCATCAAGGTGTTTTCCCCGAACTGTTAAAAATTGCCAAAATTATTCCTATTTTTAAAGAAGGCGACAAATCAATTATTATTAATCAAACTATCGCCCTATTTCTGTTCTTTCCACATTTTCAAAAATTTTAGAAAGAATTATATATAACAGAGTATACAAATATTTTCATGTTAATAAATTACTTATCATTAATCAATTCGGTTTTAAAAAGGATAGCTCAACTGAACATGCAATTATCCAATTTGTACGTGAAATCTCAAAATCATTTGAAAAATCACAATATACTCTAGGACTTTTTATTGATCTATCAAAAGCTTTTGATACGGTTGATCACCAAATTCTAATCTATAAACTTAAACACTATGGAGTAAAAAATAAAGTTTTAAAATGGTTTGAAAGCTATTTGTCAAATCGTAAACAATTTGTTCCGAGTAATGACGGTTATCATACCAATTTTCTTTCTATAACATGTGGAGTCCCACAAGGCTCAATTCTTGGTCCACTCCTTTTCCTAATTTATATTAATGATTTAAATAAAGCCTCTAAACTAACAAATATTATGTTTGCAGATGATACTAACTTATTTCTTTCTAACAGTGATATCTTTGAACTTTTTAAAACAATGAACAAAGAGCTTATACATGTATCGAGTTGGTTTAAATGTAATAAGTTAACTCTAAACTCTAATAAAACAAAGTGGACCTTATTCCATTCGCTTTCCAAAAAACGGTATTTGCTATTAAACTTACCTAAAATTTTTATTGATCAAAATGAAATAAAAAGGGATTCCGTAACAAAATTTTTAGGTGTTTATCTTGATGAAAACATCACTTGGAATCATCATATCGACTACATAAGCACTAAAATTTCAAAAAACATAGGAGTTTTATATAAAGCACGAATCTACCCCAATAAGAAAATTTTAATCAAACTTTATTATTCATTTATACAAAATATTATTTTATTGAAATGAGAATTTTAAATATATACGAGCTAAGTATATATAATGTTTTATGCTTTGTATACATGTGGAAAAATGACTTGTCTCAATCTGTCTTCAAAGATATTTTTACTCCGAAACTCATCAACAAATACAATTTGAGAAATACTGATTTTTTAAATAAATCTTTCTGTCAAACGAACTTTAATCAATTTTGTATTGCCTATCGGGCACCACACTTTTGGAATAAAATTGTTTTGCCCAATTTTGATTTTGAACTACCCATTACTTTTCGTTTTTTTAAAAGTAAATTAAAAACCCTAATTTTTTAATTAGAAGACGTATTATGTTATTATTAATAATATAAATTAATAACTTTGCCTTTTCTTATTTATATTTGTAAAAAGTTTATTCTTACTTATTTTGTTGATTTTATATTCTTTACTTAACGTATACGTTTATATAAAATATTAGTGAGTAGATCCGCATGATCTCTCTTTGGATTATATAATATATATTTGGATTATATATATATGAAATTTGTAAAAATTTGATACTGTTAATGCTTGTTTGAACTTATTTAAGGTTCTGACGACAAGATCCGTTGATCTTCTTTCAGATACCTTATTTTATATTTGTGAAAGTTTATTATTATTATTATCATTATTTTTTTTTGGCAATATATAGTTGTAATACGACCAACAAATGTAAAATTTAAAAAAAAAAGACATTTTTTAAACATGCAATCCTTTCTGATCATTGAGAAAATTTACATCTTGTCTACTTTTTAAAACTTGTGTTTTATCTTTCAAGATGAGTTTTTTTATTTTTCATTAAATTAATCTTTCTCTTTTAAAACCACATTTTTGCCTTAAGCTGTTTAAGTCAACATTCTTGCCTCTAAATGACATATCAAAAGTAAAAGAATTCATGAAAAGATATTACAACTAAAAACATTTTTATATTGATATTTTTATCATAAAAAACATATTAATATACTATTAAGTCAATTTAAATTTCGACTGATTTGTAAAATTATAAGCATTTTTCTATAATATAGTAAACATCTGATATGTTAGTCAGTATTTTTTTCACCTAATAATGGTATATATGGTATGCACATGGTAAATTTTTTTTGGGAGGTGGGTGGGAGAGAGGGGGAGGCGAGCGGTTGGGTTCCAAAAATCATACGAACGCGTACAAAGGGGGAGGGGATGTTGAAGACAGTGAGCACGTACGCGGTTTGACTATCTCTCCTAAACTTAATTTTTAACATTTAATTTCACGTTAATTTTTCACACGTATGTTTCACATTTAGTTTAACAAATCAGAAATTTTTTTTTTTCTGACTTCAGTCACTATTTTTATTTTTTTGTTTTTTTATAAATAATGAGAAAAGAAAAAAAAGAAATCAAGTTAATTTTGAAAAAATAATAATGCGTTTGTACGCGGGGGACGAAAGTGTCTTCAAAAGCATACAGGTTCGTAAAAGAGGGGAGGGGGTCCTAAATCTGCGTACGTACTTTATGGATGCCCCCTTACAAAAAAATTAAAAAAACTTCACAAAATTCTTTTTTGACTTTTCCTCTTCTCCTTCCACTCTCAACAACCCATTGAAGCGTTTAGAAACAAAAGAAGACGGAGAAGCAAACTTAATTGTTGTAGCTTTTAATTGTTTAAAATTTAAAACAACTGATAAAAAATCTTGGATAAAAACTATAAAATAATCTTTCCTTAAATAAAAAATGTTCAATTACAAAAATGTTTCATATTTAATGTACATAATAAAAAAGCCCCCCCCCCACCAACCTCTCAAACACACATGATTGCAAATGGTTAAGATCAACTCTTCCCATCATTTTTATCAAAAAAACAAAACAAAATCTAAAAATAGATAGATCAAGCTACGAAAATAACTCTCATGGTATTTTTGAAATTTTGTTAAGTGACCCTGCCCCTACCATAAGTGCAAAAACTTAAATTTTTTGCATTTTAAGACAGCTGGGACCAAATTTTCATCTGCACTGGTGGGGGAGTTTTTTTTCGATTTGGAAAAAAGTATTATTATTTTAAGTTAATACAAGTAAAAATTCATCTTTTGCCGCTATGCCATTTCCGAAAAAGTGAAATATGTTTTTTAGTCATACCCCTAATATATATACATATATATATATATATATATATATATATATATATATATATATATATATATATATATATATATATATATATATATATATATATATATATATATATATATATATATATATATATATATATAAAATTATATAAAATTATATTTTATTTAGATGAACAAAAAAAACTGATTAGCGGGACTTGAAATTTCATGACCGAAGGCAATCATCAGCACTAATGCAATCATGTGCACTAATTAATAGGCTAGGTTCTAAATATACGCTAATAAAAGGTAAACAAAAGCGCTCTTAAACTGGCCAGATTATGCATTTTATAACTGGTTTAAGTATTGAAAAGTCCTAAGCAAATAGTAGTACAGTTGACAGTTGACTTGATATCTCAAACTCTTAGGGGACCGATAAAAAAGTTCGAGATGCCGAGAGTTCGAGATGTTGAGAAGATTTTGGCTCAAACAAGTGCTTAAGAGACTGGAAAAAAGGTTAGAGATAAACAAAAGTTTGAGATATCGAGTAGTCAAGATATCGAGAGTCAACTTTATAAATAACTATTTGTAAGTTTATGTATTTTAAATAAATTTATTATGCTTTACATTGTTAGTTTAATAAATACCTATTTGATCTTTTAATGCTTCAGAGTCATTAGCCGGGTTTGCATATTGAAAGTTCACACAACTTCCACAGCAATCTTGTATTAACAATTCTACAAGTTTTTTTAGATATCCTTCTGGATTATTTGATGCGCTGTAAGATATATACGGTTGAATAGACCACCAATTGACCATCATATTTAACTTGCATCCTGGTAGTGGTTTCGGGCAAGTTTCGTTAGGTTCTATAAACATAAACAAATTTTTAAAATGTTCTTCACGAAATTTACCGATATCTTTTAAACATTTTAAACAAAACTATATTTAAAAAAGTTTTCTTTTCTATAGCATAGGTTGTAGCTTACAATAATTTGAAAAAGAAAAAAACCTGAGCTGTGTAACTCAAAATATTGCAAATATAAAATTGTCATAAAAATTAAAGTATTCATCTTTCCATTAAATAAACAACAGCGATAAAAATTCTTCGAATCTTTTTTTACTATTTTTTAAACACAGTCGAAAAATTTTTTTTTTTAATTTTTAAAAAATTAAAATAAAATCTCTAAATGAAACCCTGACGCTCTAATCAAATAAAATGAATTATTAAAACGTAAAAATGAATTACTTTACCACGACAACGAATTTTAACGAAAAAGTTCATTATATGCAAACCGACTAATTTAATACTTTATTCATAAAAATAAAATGCTTTTAAATTTATTATTATTTACGAACCCCATATATATATATATATATATATATATATATATATATATATATATATATATATATATATATATATATATATATATATATATATATATATATATATATATATATATATATATATATATATATATATATATATAAATATTTTAATTTTTTTACAACAATCATTATTATATATTTCAAAAACAAATTTACATGTCTCCAGTTTATATAAATATCCCACACAAATGTTTACAATATATAAAGAGCGTTTTACGCATGCGTGTTTGACATCGAGTTAAAATAATAAACTTAAAAATTCGTAGTTTATAATATAAAGTGGTGGCTATTAACCCACCCAGCCAACATTGACAGACGGGTACCGTATGGTTTTTGTCTGGGCTTACGGGAACGGGATTTTGACGGGTAAGTGTTTTGGTTTCCAGACGGGTCCCATATGGTAATAAAATCAAGCATATTTGCTCGTTAGGGTTTTATCTGGTTTTTATCAGGGCCGAATAACCTGGGGAATTTGACGGGTTTCCCATAAGGTTTCCAAAAGGTTTAAAAAAAATCATAACAAAACTTACTCGATGGTTGCCATTTTTAATTCGTATTGTGCGTGAAATATGATTAAAAATTTAACTTTTATGCATTACATTTTTTGAATACATTATATTTACATTGTAATTAAAAAGAATTTTTTGATGTGTTTTGTCACTGTAAAACTCAGTTAAAAAGACGTTGTTTAAAAATTTCATTTATTTATTATCATTATAAAAGAATTTTTATATATACATATTTATACATGTATACTATTTTTTAAATGAATTTACAAAGTTCAACATATTTGTTGAACATATGTTCCAGAAACTATTAAACATGCAGTAAATGTTCCATTGAGACACTGTTTGCATTAAAAAATATAAAGTTTTGTTTCTGCTAGTCACTAGCAGAAACAAACTTTATATTTTGATCATTTTTAAAATGATTTTAAAAATGCAAACAGTGCAAACTATCAGCTAGTGATATAATTAGATAATAAATGGTTTGAGTTTAATCAAAATATTAGTTTAGTCAGAAACATTTAAAAAGAGCAAACAGACGAATAGAATGTAATGGATAGGTTATATTTAGGGAATTAAAAGCTTTTAAATCGTTTTTACAGATCCACTCTTTTCCATTGATTTTTCTATATTTTATGCAAGCAAAATGACTGATGTTAACGAAGTTTACCCACCGTCAGATATAAATAAAGATATAATTACATGTTTAAATGCAAAAATATGCCTTTATTGTTATGCATCAACCTCATATTTAATCATTGATATTTTTTGATTTTGATTTAAAATTGTACACTTGCAATATAAACAATAATTTCATAATATACATAATAATAACTTATACTTACAATACCTATACTTGTAAATACTTGTAATATAATAATTATGTTTATAATATTGATAAAAAATTTTTATTGATATAAACTTTTGCATTCAAACTTTAGTTATAAAACTTTAATTTAACTTAATAACTTTTACATAAATAACAATAACTAAAAAAAGATGTTAGTTATTATATAGATTATAGCCATATGATTATTTATTATAATTGAGTTACAGTAAGTTAAACAATATAAAATATTATGTTCCAGGCAATAGGTCTTATATGATATGTATCTTATGTATATCTTGTATTTTGCAGCATGTTAAAGAATATTTCTGCATGGTGCACTCTGACTGTTGACAATATTTGCATACTGATATGAGTAAAAGTGACTTCAACATCCAGAATGTGTTTTTGATAAATATTAATAATAACAGGTTAGTAAATATAATTATAGTAATAATGGCAATAACTTTTTATTATTAGAATTAGTGAGAGACTTATGTATAATAGAGCTACATTAACTTTGGGGGACAAATATAATAACTTGAATAAATATTACCGTTTTTATAACCTCGATTAGAGTAATGTAAGTAAATATTATTTTTATCTAAAGAATATTCGGCAAAAGTCAGTATTTCCTAAGTATTAAATATTATAAAAAAACATGTGTTTAAAAAAATTTTTTTTAATGTATCATAAAATAAAAAAATAAGTATTTGAGTATAAAAAAAAACACATTTATTATTATAATGTATATACATCACATTGACTATGTTGTCTATAAAGTAGGGGTTGCAGCTGATATTTCAGCTTCAGCTATAAACTCATTAGCTTCAGATTAATGCTGAAGCTGATCAAGTCAGTTTAATCATCTTGATAGCTGATAGTAAAAGAGAATAATACTCCATAAATATTTTATATAAAATATATTTTTATATAGGAATTTATTCAATGAAAATCTAAAATAGTGACAAAATTTAAACATACATGTAAATTTTAAATAAAATTTGCCAAAAATTGTTGCTATTTATAAATGTTGCCATCAGAGCCTAGGCCTAGGACTTACAATATTAGGGGACCCAAATTATGTTTTAAGAAATTTGTTTAAAAAGTGGTGCCCAAAAATCTAATTCCATTTTTAATTATCTTAAGGGGACCAACTATCTTTTGTTCAAAAAGAGTACACTTTGCAAATATTTCATAGGTAAAAAAAAAAGGTAGATAAAACGATAAAAAAACTTTATTTTTTTTTAAAAACATATTTTTCGTCAGAGTGGATTTTTTTTGCTAGATGAGGATGTTCGTCTAATAATGTAGCTGCATCCGAACATATTAAATTTCATATTAAATTTGACTGTTAAGACGGCATATAATGTTTTTACAGAAAGTTGCAACTTCTCACTGCTCCAATAATCATTCCTTAGTGAAAATACCTTTTCAACAGCAGCATTAGTGCCTGGACAACATAAAGAAATTTCTGTTAAAACTTTTAAATTTTTATGTCGGATATGTTCTACTCTAAAATGCCGAAAGGTTTCTACCCATCTTTTTTCAAGTTCTATTTTCTCATTGTTCCATTTCTTTAATTTTTCTTCATTTAAAAATAAATTTACTCTTCCGATTTCTTCAAAAAGAAAATTGTCATTAATAACAATATCTTTCACTTCCTTTATTACAAATTCGACTGCTGAAGAAACTTTTTTCCATTAAATTTTACTATTTATAAGGGTCCATTTAAAACAATTCAATGCTCTAAAGTTCATTATCCATTCTTCGATATATTCATAGCAAATTTTATAAAAAATTTTAACTTCTTTTAAAAATTTTTTTTTCCGGGATTGGAATCTTCCAAAGCGGTCAGTTTATAGGCTTTAATATAGCCTTTAATATTGTATATAGTAGTGTATATATATATTTTTTTATTTAAATTTGCCATTAATTTGTTTTTTTATATTTTTCTGCAAAAAAAATTTTCTGTCGCTTTATCCTTCTGAACTTATGTGATTAAGTTTTTGTTTTCTCTTATATATTTTCTCACTCAACTTATCTCATCCGTTCATTTTCTCTTTATTTTTTCATTTTTCTTAGCGTTACTCTTTTATATTTTTGTGTTAATTCCAACTTTTTAAATAGTATTGTTCCTTATACTTCTTTTTTTATTACTTGTATTAATGTAGTTTTCTTTCTTTCTTATTATTTTTTATTTTATTTGTTTATTTTATGAAGGTGTCGCTCCATTGACTTGCTTTTAATATGAGTGACACCAAACATAAATTTGTAAATTATAATTAAGTTTTTTTTTTTTGATTTTATGGTTAATTAACCATAAGCGCATGCGTAGTATGTACAGTAAGGTTTTTGTTATCCTTTTATTTAATTGAATAAATGGATAAAAAACTTTGCTGTACATACTACGAATGCCTCAAGACTGTCAAGCATGGCGTACATACTGCACATCAAAGATCAGCCTGGGGATTACAAATGCAAATGTTGGATCCATCTCTTTTCACAAATGTAATTTTGACATTGTTAGAAAAAGAGGTCTGTAGTATCTATCTATCTCTCCAGGTTCATAATACGGCCTCTCAATTGTGTTGAAAATGGCAGCCATATGTGCCTTCAAAATTTAAATCACTGTCAAACTTGTATCTGGTGTTTGCCCTGTCCTCTGATGTGCTGGAAACGGCTAGCAATATGTGCGCATAAAATTCAAATCACTGTCAAAATAATTTTATATATTTAACTAATAAAATTGAAATGAAATAATATAAAAAACAATGTTTTAGAAATACAAATGAGTACAAAATTATACAAATGAGTACTTTCAGAGTACAGGATTTGAAAACAGTACGGTTTGTGAAAAAAGAGTAAAAAAACTCAGTAAATGAGAATAGCAGGTCACCTTAATTGTCTACATAATTTTTTGGTAGATTTCAAAGTTCTTGCAAAAGATGGTTTTATCTATGAAAGTATTGAGTTTAATATCAATCTTGCTGTTATCATATGTGATGCACCAGCTAGAGCATTTGTAAAGTGTACTAAAGGACACAATGGTTATAACTGATGTGAATGTTGTGCTTAGAAAGGAGAGTGGTGTGGCAAGATAATTCTCCTACATATTTCACTAATTTTAAGCACTGATTCAGATTTTTTGTCATTAAAAGCATTGTGAACATCTTAGTGGTGTGTTAAATTAAATTAAATTTTGACATGGTGACAAAGTTTCCTTTAGACTTAATGCATCTAGTATGCTTAGGGGTAATGCGAAGATTTCTCAACTTATGGTTAAATTGCCCAAATGTTGTAAATTGTCTCAGATTACAGTCAATACTTTATCTGGCGATTGTTCCAGATACGTCATTACATTCCAAGAAATTTTTATAGAAAATCAAGGTCTTAATTAGATATTAAAAAATGGAAAACAACTGAGCTTAGACTATTTATAGTAAACACTTGACCAGTTGTTTAAAGGGAATGGTTTTGCCAAAAATGTATTCAATTTTTTAGACTTTTCAGTTGTAGTTCTACTTTCATAATGTTTCATTTTGTTGAAAAAATATGTTAATTTTGCTTTTCAGCTACTTATTTTTATATGTAAACTTTATCATAAGGATCAACTAGTGTACAATGTCCATTTATTAGCACCTATAGGAAATAATACAGTTAAATTTTAGGTATTTGATAGATGTCCCTCTTTCAAATACAAAACTTTTTCAGGTCAATTAAAAAATGTTTGTCTAGGGGGCTCATTTGCAAATTTAGGGGCCCTTTTACAAATGTAAGGATTTTTTTTTTTTAGGATTTTTATTTAGATTTTTATTTAGTTTTTAGGAATTTTGGGGCCCTTATGACAGGTTTTTTTTTGGAATGGGGGGCTTGTATCTAGTAGCCATGGCACTGTATATAAGGTATATACAATATATATCAAATTATATACAATATAAATAAAAAATATATTTCTTTAATAATTCTATATAGTTTATTTATTAGTAACTAAAGGAATGTTATCAATTTATTATATGAATCATATGCATGTGCTTATCTATTACCTTTGATTGTGAAAATTACATTTTTTATCTGAAGAGAGTTGGGAGAAATTGTAAGAGTTTTATAACATATTAAAATTAATGTATGTGTTACCAATAAAATTTAAAACTAACAGTTAAACTTAATTTTTTACAGTTCATATTGAAACGAGATATTGTGTAAAGAGGTTTTCAAAGAAGTCGTTTTAACAACAATGGAAAAGCTTCCGATTCCCGAGATAAACCTGAAAGCATTTGATTCATGATTAAAGAATCGCTCAAAAGTTTGCTTACTTTTGACAGTGTAATTTTAATTACTATTTTTTTTTGAAATAAACCAATCAATTTATATATAAATTTGCTTTTTCTGTAAATTTTAAACATTTAAACGTAGTTTTGCAAGATTTGCAATGGGTAAACCTCGTGGGACCCTCACGGGATACCCGGCGGGCATACCCATATGGGCCCAGAAGAAAACTGCGGCCATGATCCGGCGGGTTCCCGATGGGTTTCCCATATGGGTCCCATTTGCATAAAAAAATGGGTCCCTTACGGTTTTAAAGTACGGGATTTGACTGGGACCCATACGGGATACCCGGCGGGCTAACCCATATGGGTCCCATATGGAAACCGCGGTCATGATCCGGCGGGATACCGTTGGTCTTCCCATACGGGACCCAGTTGACGACCCGTATGGGCCCCGTACGGTACCCGTATGTCAATGTTGGCTGGGCATGCATTCAAAATATATACGCAAATCCGTCGCACCACAGGGCTACTAGGAACATGCTTGTCGTTGTCGTTGGAGCTATATATTAATATATATTAATAGTACTATGTAGTTGAAAGGAAACTCGCAGAAGACTAAGAAAAGTCTTTTCATCGAGAACTTTTAAAATACAAAATAAACTAAAAGTTTAAAAAGTAAATCTATAAAACACACATTAACTTTTTGAAGTCAATATTAAGTAATATTTTAGTATATTTAAATATTTTCAGTAATATTTTACTATGTATAGTTTCTAACTATATGTATTTATTATATATTTCTTTCAATTTAGTTTATTTTTTTTTATTATTATTTTTTTTTATAGCTTAAATTGTTCTTTTTACATTTTATTATGTAAATTGTTCTTTTATATTTAATACATATCGATAAAATTGGTTTTGTTAATTATGAGATCTTTTAGTTTTTTTTTCAGGGTAATAAGATTTTCCAGTTTAGTAAGTTCTATATTTTGAGGTATTATTTTGTTGTATAAATAGGGGCCACGGTATACAATTGAAAATCTCGAAAAGTGTTTTTTTTATGGGCAACGTAAAGTTTTATTTTTTGTTAAAAATAATGTTGTTTATAATATTAGAAGCGAAATGTGCGTTTCTGACGAAAACAACGAGATTTTAACAATAGAACTTATCAATAAGCGTTCAAAAAATATGCTCATAAGCTGTTGCTACAGGCCACCTGCTGGAAGAACCGAAAGCCTTTGTAACTTTATACTAAAAAATATAATAATGAAAAGCGATCTTGAAAAGAAAAAGTATTACTTAATAGGAGATTTTAACATAAACTCCTTCGAATATTATCAAAATCAAAATACTAGAAAGTTTTTTAACGATCTGTTCGAAACTGGAACAATACCATTAATTAATCGACCGACCAGAATCACAAACCATTCATCATCATCAATTGACAACATCTTTACTACCGACTTTTTTAATAAGTCGCTTAAAAAGAGTATAATAAAAACAGATCTTTCCGATCATTTCCCAATAATTTTATCATTAGAATTAAACGTAAAAAAAGAGAACCATGTTAAAATCTCAATAAAAAAACGGCTTTTCAATATTAATAATTTGAATTCCTTTAGAATGCTAAAAACTACTTAAATTATAAAAACTTATTTGAAAAACTTCGTAAAAATTCTAAAAAAATTACTCCTCAAACTTGCCAAATAAATACAAACATAACTCAAAAAGGGTCTGCCAAGTCATGTAAGAGGTGACTGGAAAACATAAAACAAATACAAATTCACTGCGAGATATAATAAAAATTGAAAACAAGTTATTTAATGATCCAAACAAAATTGCATTCGAATTAAACAAGTTTTTTACAACAATCGGAACAAAATTATGCAATAATATTCCATACATTAAAGAAAAAGCTAGGGATGAATATGAAACTCTATTAAACTCAACTCTAAATAATACTTAGTTAGCTTTTGATGAATTTGAAGTTGCTTTCAAGTCATTAAAACGAAATAAAGCAACTGGATACGATGAAATTAACGCAAATATTGTAATAGACTCCTACGATATTATAAAAAATATTCTTTTTAAAATCTTCAGAGTGTCCATCACACAAGGGTCTTTTCCATATAAACTGAAAATAGCAAAAATAACTCTAATCTTCAAGACCGGCGATCGTACAAACATAACATATTATCGCCCCATCTCGGTTCTTCCAAATTTTCCAAAAATATTAGAAAAAATAATGTTTAATCGAGTCTACTTACTCTTGACGAAAATTTGTCCTGGAGGTATCATATCGATGCTACTTCCACAAAAAATGCAAAATGCATCGGAATTCTTTATAAAGCAAGAAATATATTAAGTAAACATCAGTTAACACAATTGTATTATTCATTTATTCATTGTCATATAAACTATGCAAATAGTATGTGCGGAAGCACCCATAAGACATACTTAAATCTCTTTACCTTCGTCAGAAACACGCAGTTTGCGTAATAAATTTTAAAAATCGGTTTTTTCACACAAAACAACTTTTTTAAAGAAATTAATATTTTGAATGTGCACCAACTAAATGTTTTTAATATTTTGTGCTTTATGTTTAAATGTAGAGAAAATATGTCACCAACTGTATTTAAAAATGTTTATAATTTGAAACCGAAAAACAAATATAATCTTCGCACTAATAACAATCTTATTGCCCCCTTTTGCCATCAAAAAAAAGACCAATTTTTTGTTTCTTATCGAGGACCTTATCTCTGGAACAAAATAGTTTTACCAAATTTTGATTTTTTCTATTAAAATTGCTTATGCTTCATTTAAAAAGAAACATAAAAAGATTATCCTTTTATTAGAAAATATTCTCATCTATTTTTAACTATTTTTGTAAGTTGTTTTATTTTAGACTAATAATTACTAAGTTTTTTATAAAAAGATATATTATTTCATTACGAACAGTTTATTTTTAATTTTTTGTATATATATATATAAATATATATATATATATATATATATATATATATATATATATATATATATATATATATATATATATATATACATATATATATATATAAATATATATACATATATATATATAAATATATATATATATATATATATAAATATATATATATTTAAATATATATATATATTTATAAATATATATATATATATATATATATATATATATATATATATATATATATATATATATATATATATATATATATATATATATATATATAAATGTGCGTACAGAAATATTACTCAAGCGCTGAGTTGGCCTGTGGCAGGATTTGAACCCGTATCGTCAACAAACAGTCCGGGTTTTAACATTTTGTTAGACGCTCTAACCAACTGAGCTATCCAGCCACAATCTAATACCTTGTGCAATACTGTCCGCTGTCTCAAGACAAACTTTGTAACTCAACTTCTTCTAACTTTCTTTCTAGTATCTTTCTTTCTTTTAAAAATTATTTACTGTTGATCTGGGAATATATCCTCTATATAGCAATTATTCGGAGGAGGATAAGCCAGGAGGATAAACGCAAAGAAAGAAGGTAAATATTAAATGAAATAGTATGTTAGATGTATTTTTATATTTACTTTTTTGTAGTGCAGTCTTTTTAAAAAGTTCTCTTAATTATTATTCTCGTTATCTGATCTATATTTAAACTATTTATAATTGTGGTTTTTGACAAAGTTATCTGTAGAATAGAACATTTGATGTTAATAATCGATTGTAATTAAATTATTATATAATTATTTGTTTGTATTTATATTAATTATATTATATTGATTAATTTTGATTGTAAATTTTAAAATAAAAAACTACTATTGAAACCTTTTCTCAGGTTCATGCTTTGGTTTTAGTTTCAACCCAACTTTGAATTTCAAATGTACCTACATCTGAATCTTCCAGTGCTATGCTAGACAATTGGATAGATTTTTTCGAAATTTCCTGGAAAAGCTGCCAGCTGAAATCATGGATTTACTCCACAAAAATGCTCCTATTTTTCAAAAGTACTCTTAACTTTATCTCCTTCTAACCTACACTTTTTTCTATATCACTGCATCCTGATTATCTGCAACTACAACTCTCTACATACTTGCTCTACATACAATTTTTAAATATTTTCAGTAACAACTTTTTTTTCTTTTTGTTTACTGTAAATAATGGTTTATTAATCCAATTAACATGATCTAATTATTATTTAGATGTATTGCAAAATTGAATTTTAAAAAAATTTATTAAATCGAAAAAAAAAACGGTTAAAAACAGTATGTTGGACCACGACCAAAAGTTTTGAGTTTTGTAAAGGAGCTAGTGGTGTTTGAATGGACAAAGCATCAGTAGATCAAAAGACGTTTTGTTTATATTTATTATAACTATTATAATATAATATATATATAATAACTATTATAATATATTACAATTTATCATAATGAAAAAGTATTTATTATTATAAATATTACAAAATATATATAATAACTACTATAGTATACTATCATTTGTTTATATTTAATATTATTATTATTATAACTAGAAGTAAGCAACTCGTAATACGCGTTGTTAGTAAATAAAATTAAAAAAAAAAACGCGAATAGAAAAGCCAAGAAACTACTTTAAAATAGAAAAGCCTAGAAAATGACGTAATTCGACTAATAATAATAATATTAAATTTGCGTATTAATATTATCAGATAATTATGTTCATCTGGAAAAAGTCCAAGTAATCTGAATTTAAGAAAACTAGTAAAAACGGAGCTACTCATAGTTGTGCATCACCAGAAATTGATATATTTTATACTTAGCACGTTTTGCATATGGTTTATATAATTAAAAAAGATTTTCTTAAATGTTTTGTAAGTGCCTAAAGTACTCAAATCTACTGAGTTTTTTTATGTTGTGTTGATGTGTATTATACTATAATTTTTAATCATCTAAAATTTGATTAGTTTCTTAATAGTCAAATTATATTTTTATAACAACATACAAATTCTATTCTTTTTTTTTTTTTTGACTTTTGTGTAAACTCTGTAAAATGAGTTAAGTATTTCATGAATCAACGGAGTATTTCCGTTAATTTGAACTGAAAAAATACG